ATTGCATGTGTTTGTCATGATGAAAAATGAACCGAGATGTTGAAAGTTGAAAGAAAGATTATTATTTAGAAAAGCAACATAGTTTCAATGGTTCCTAGTAGACATTATAGTTTAAATTTTCTTTGCTCATATGAGAAGCTGCATCTTCTGACTAATGGTTGGTTATTAACGTAAATATAGGACAATACATACGTATACATACGTACATAAAACTCAGCTAGAGAAGACAATCTAAACATACACAGTATATAATGTTAACGTGCATTGTTTACAATCTTACACTGTTCCATAAACAAATACATTACATTTCAAGAGGATTGAACAAATGACTCTTAGTGGAATCCATGCAAACTCCATAACCAATAAGTATTGTCCTATATTTACGTTAATAACCAACCATTAATTAGAAGATGCAACTTCTCATATGAGCAAAAGAAGTTTAAACTATCATGTCTACTAGGAACAATTGAAACTATGTTGTTTTTTAAAATAATAATCCTTCTTTTAACTTTTAACATCTCAGTTCATTCTTCATCATGACAAACACATGCAATTATGTGAAAGAAATGAATTCCTAATATGCGACAACGGGAAAGAAAGGAAGGGATTCAGTCCAAGTGACTTCACAGCCGATTGTTACTTTTTTTTTGCTGCTTCAGAGAAGTGATGTTTTTAATGTATTTCATCAAAACATCTCAGAGATGTTCTAATCTTTGATCATATAAGGTGGTAATTCAAATGTTTTAAATCAAACTAATTTTCACTTCATATATAGCGTTGATATCTAGGGAATTGATTTTCATAAATTAAACCATACATAAATCAATCAACAAAAATAAAGCATCCATTGAACAAATGATCAAGGTTTCCCATTAACAAGAAATTAAAACACGACGTAGCCATTTTCAGTTGTTCACTGGAGATGACCATATTCAAACCTTTCTTGTTCAAATTCATTAGCCGTACCGTACATCTTGTTCAAATTATCATCAAATGTATATGTGAAGTTTTCACATAGTTATGTGAAATTTTCACATAGTTTGGAGTATTCTAGATTATGAATCAAACTACTTTTCAAACAGCTTAATAGCCATCCATTAGCACATAGCTAAAGCAGTATAGGTTTTTCTACATATAGATCATGATGGGTAGTGCCGATCATCGTATTGAGTAACCTATTGCGCCATCTCATGATAAGAATCTCATACCATCTCATTTTACCATACACACACACACGCACATATAATATATATATATATATATATTTATATATATTTATATTTATATATATATAGAGAGAGAAACTTATGTCAACTTAAGTGGACGTCCACTAAGTTTCTTAGTCATTGATGATCACTTGATTGACATACATTGTGAATGATCCGTTTCGTTGAACTTGATCTACATTTAGTCATTGATGATCACTTGATTGACATACATTGTGAATGATCCGCTTCGTTGAACTTGATCTACATATTCTAAAATCCCAACACACCAAATTTGGAGTGAACCCGTCGTGGTTTGACCATCCGTCGAGCTATGTAAAAAGTTCTATTCATTCGAAACCGTTAAAATTGATACGAGTGGATGAAGGGTCAAACCATGACGGGTTCATCCCAAATTTGGTGTGTTGGGGTTTTAGAATATGTAGATCAAGTTCAATGGAGCGGATCATCTACAATATATGTCAATCAAGTGATTATCAATGACTAAGAAACTTAGTGGACGTCCACTTAAGTTGACATAAGTTTCTGGTGGGCAAAGGCCTCTAGTCCAATTAAGTTGACATAAGTTCACCTCTCTCTCTATATATATACATACATACATATATGTGTGTGTATACATATAACATGATGATGTTTACACTTAAAAGAATATGGAGATTTTTTTGACCTTATGACTATTCAAAGCTTATCGATGACGTTATTAATTGGTAATTTCTTGGAAATTTGCATGCTTGTGTATAGTGGTGGAAATTAACAAAATAATTAATAAACAATTTTGTTATTGTTTGTCTAGATATTCGGCCATATTTGATTTGGTAGTTCATTTAACAATAAACGAGTATTTTTTAGCATTCTTTTCATAAACATATAGAATTTAACCGGAAGTATATTTAATTCAGTTGATTTTTAAACATTCGTTTATGTTTTACATTTTATTTCTCTAATTTAATTTGTTATTGACTATTTGTCCTTTAAAGTTGCACTTGAGATATTTATCATACTCAGATATATCATAACAAAGTATCTATTAGAAATAAAATTTGAGGCTCATTTTAACTTATAGATTTATTCATAAGTTTATTTAAATGTTGATTAGTATTTGTTTGAACTAAAGTACATCGATATAGATTAAAAGTAATGGAGAGTTTAATTGTTAAAACAAGTTTGCTAGAAAATGAATTCTTGTTGATGTGAAATGTATAATGGAATGTTTTTTATGTTATATAAAATTGTAATTATTTCTATTTATAATATATAAATATATGAACATAATAAATTTAGAAGTGAAATGTAAGATGGAAATACAATGAAAAAAAACAATGAAATTATCAACAAAGGATTCAAACTCGACCTAAGTTTTAAGAGCCAAGTGCCTTAACCAAATGTACTAATGAACGTTCGTGAATGTTTATTGAATATCCACATAACCGAATCAAATTGAATGCCCGCGCACTATTTGATACAAATTCGAGCTCAAATTCATCGGAACAAACTGCATTCAAATTCAAATGCTACGATATTCGATTTGGTTTGTTTCCACCCCTACTTGTGTAACTCTTATGTTCTCAATGCCTTTGATGAGTGGTGACCTGATTTGTGAATGCTTTTTTGGTCATTCTGAGTCTGTTAGTTTGTTATCCGAGTGACATGCTTATGTGTGACAATACTCTGGATTTCCACATTTAAAATTAGGACTCGTTACAAGACTTCACCCAGTCATGTCAATGTATAACTTTCACAATATTTGTTTCCTAAGTGGCACATTTAGAGTTCTCAATTTAAAAAAAAATTACTGTGCTTCTATCTAAGCATTTGCCTGAGAACATCCCTGCATTATTTTAATTTTAATTGTTCTTAGTCTTGTTTGTCTAACCAAAGTTTCTTATTTAAGTATTCCATTTTAGGACTGGCTATTATTTTATTGTATTTAATTATTAAAATTGTGCCAGTTACAGAAAATAAGCGCCAATCACTTATTGCATGAAGAATAAGTTACTTTTTTCTGAATTACACGCAACCAAATTGATCTTATTTATTAAGCTGCTGGTAAAATAATTGATAAGGAACCTTTTTTTTGCCTTGGTTGATTGCATCCTTCTCTGCTCTTAGGCTTTTACTGGCCATTTGGAAGATGATATTGTATGCAACTATTCATTCATAATCTCGACATGGGCATACTAGTTATTGTGGTCAATTAATTTATAATTTGTGATTGTGGTGGAAGGGTCATTTCTTCTGGATAATGCGTTGCTAGTTTTCAAGTAAACACCTACCCTTCTTCAAGACATGTCAGCTATTACTTTCTAATTGGTTCCTTGAACATGAAGTTAGTGTGAATTGCATGTGGTAGTGTCTCTTTCGCATAAGTTTTCATTATTTAATATATTTACTCTTCAAATTTGCGTTAAATTCCCATTGACTGATCATGTAGAAACAAAGCTTTTTTTTCCCCATACTATAACACAATTGGCCTTCTACTTAAAACAATACCCCATGATATATACTCATTTTAGGATCAAGCTTCCATCGGGTGCGAAGAAGATTGTTCCAAGTGGATGCCGTGCAATGATTGGGCAGGTTGCCGGTGGTGGCAGAACCGAGAAGCCCCTCTTGAAGGCCGGCAACGCTTACCACAAGTTCAGAGTGAAGCGGAACTGCTGGCCCAAGGTGCGTGGTGTTGCCATGAACCCAGTGGAGCATCCCCATGGTGGTGGTAACCACCAGCACATCGGTCATGCTTCCACTGTTCGTCGTGATGCCCCACCTGGACAAAAGGTCGGTCTCATTGCCGCCAGAAGGACCGGACGTCTTCGAGGACAAGCTGCTGCTACTGCTTCCAAAGCAGAGAAGGGAGCTTAGACATTTCTGTACTTGCTCGCAATCATTAGTTACTCTTGTTTACTCCTATTTTTCTGTTTATTGCGTACTGTTATTTTGAAATTTTGTTGTTAAAACATTGACTCTGTACAAGCTATATGCTGGTTGACTGGTTGGTAAACCTTTATGTTGGTTACTCGCTTGTTTGTCATTTTGGAGAATTTGTAGCTTTCATTTTTCTTAGCTGCTGGTCTGAACGCTATAATATTTCTAGGCTTCGGTTATTAGTGTCTTGTTTATCTATTTAATTGGACATTGCTTGTTTTCGTCTTTTTGCCCGTTTTGATATTATTTCATGCGCCTAAATGTCCCTATTTTTGGATTTCAATTTGAATTGTCCTAAATATCTGATTATATGCTGCTGCTCCAAACAATAGTGTTTTGCGAAAAGCATATCATGCTACTGTTTTGTTTCATTACTTTAATGGGAATTTCAGTGTTAATAATAGTCGTTTTTCTACTATGGAGGCTTTGGTTTCTACTTTGTCCTCTTAACTCAAATTTGTCCCATCTTATAGCTCCGGCACCGCGTGCACATTTCAAGTTTCATTTTACGCCAACTATTGCTTCAAATATCCACAAAGCGACGAATGAAAAGTGGTCATTAGATTATCTACATGGTCGGTCACTCGTCTTTTCTAAATTCTAGTTCTCACTCAACTGCGTACAATTATGGTTTTCTTGTGAAACCTTAAAGCAATAAATGTTGCTTCGTCTTCGCCTTCCTGTTGAAGTACGTCATTCTATGATAATTTGCAGGAAAACCCCATCTCATCCACGTTTTAGCTTGTAGTTGTAACTCAATTCATTAATCGAAAAAATCAATTATAAAAAGTCAATGATCCCCGGCGGGGATCTATCTATGGATCCAAAATGTCAAGCGACACGGTCAAGGTATCTAGGATAAGAATAACAATTGTACGAACTAGTACAAATTTTAGACAATCTGAGTTGAGGTCTAATAACTCTTTTGAGCATAGATGACAACAATAGATGATCCCTTTATCCACTTCTTTGTTCGTGTTTCAACATCCCAGTTTCCAGATTCTAGTTAATGTTGCACATAATATTAAGTCTAAGGACAAGGTGATGAGAAAGAACGGAAAAAAGAAAAAAAAAGAAAAAAAAAGAAGAAGCTCGTAGCTATATGATTCAAGCAAAGATCTCATCAAGCTTTGGGCTGGGCTACCACATGCTTGGCTGACTTCTCCTTAACCGCCTGCTGGTTCTCCTTACCCAACTTCTTGATATTGGCAAGCTCAAGGTCTCGGTTCATCTTCTTCCGGTACATCTCCATAAACGTCATTGGCTCATCCAATATCGCCTTCTCTCCCTCCCTTATCGCCAATGGATACACAATCGCATTGGGAGCTGGATTCTGAAACGTCGCAATCGACATGCGACTACAGTTCGAATTCACCACTGCTTGATGATCCGCATTCTTGAATCGACCATTGCTTAGATACTGTAACATATTTATAAAATTTAATTATGAAAATTAAGCTAAAAGCTTAACCTGATACCACTTACAAACGAGATATAATATGTACTTACATGACCATGATCGCCGAGGTTAACCACAATTGCTCCCTCCACTGGTTGAACAGTGATCCAAGTCTTACCCCCGTCCTTGGTTGCTTGTAGACCTCCAACTCGGTCTTGAAGAAGAAGAGTGATGGTGCCGGGATCGGTGTGGCGCTTTAGACCGAGGGTGAGATCCGGTTGTGGGCATTTTGGGTAGAAATTGACAACTATTTTTTGATCCATATCAATACAGGCATTTGTTAGAGCCTCAGTGTGAAGTCCCATGGCCTCGGAGAGAACACCTAAGAGTTTGCAGGCTAGGCCCATTAGATTTTCACTATACTTTTCAGATACTGATATCCAGCCTTCGGGCTTATTAGGCCACCGAGAGTAGTCACGGGATTTTGTTGGGTAGGAGAAGAATGTTACAATCTCCCTCCAATCTTGCACTGCTTCACCCTGTGCGTGATTCAGTCATGAAATCATGTATAGACTTAGAATAGAAGCAATCAAGCAAAATTGACTAGTGAGATACTGCACAATTAGTGTGAAAAGCTTTAAAAAAATAATTTTAAGCATTTCATTTAAGAATACATCTCATACGTAACAATTTAGAAGAAAAACATTAATTCTTGGGGTATCTTGTGTGAGCTATTCCAATGGACGATCCACTCTATTCATCATGATTTAAATGTCTTAAGAAATTCATAAAACAAAAATCAGGATGTTTCAAAACTTCTAACACATTTTTTCATTGTCTCTTTAGGTGTATTGTCGTAAAACCTTTAACTTTGCAATTACTTGATGCATGAGTAACTACAATCTAACATGACTAGTTTTTTGTTTATACATCATTCCAAAAGATATAGATCAAAATGAATGGAGTGGATTAACTAAAGTGATTGCATATAACGTAATTTTCAAGGTGCATCCTTAGGTTGAATCTAAGGTCGCTTATATATATATATATATATATATATATATTATGTTATATATATTACATATATTTTATATATATTATATATATAGAGAGATTAATGGGTATCCTTGTCATAGGAGGGGATTTCCTCCTATGACGCCTCTAAAATCACATGATTGAGCGACATTGTGGATGATCCGCTCCGTTGAACTTGATCTACATATTCTAAAACCCCAACACACCAAGTTTGGGGTGAATCCGTCGTCGTTTGACCCTCCATCCAGCCATGTGAAAAGTTCTATTCATTCAAAACCGTTAAAATTGATACGAGTGGATGAAGGGCAAACGACGACGGGTTCACCCCAAACTTGGTTTGTTGGGGTTTTAGAATATGTAGATCAAGTTCAACGGAGCGGATCATCCATAATGTCGCTCAATCATGTGATTTTAGAGGCGTCATAGGAGGAAATCCCCTCCTATGATAAGGATACCCATTAATCTCTATATGAAATTAATGGGTATCCTTGTCATAGGAGGGGATTTCCTCCTTGACGCCTCTAAAATCACATGATTGAGCGATATTATGGATGATCCGCTCCGTTGAACTTGATATACATATTCTAAAACCCCAACACACTAAGTTTAGGGTGAATCCGTCGTCGTTTGACCCTCCATCGAGCCATGTGAAAAGTTCTATTCATTCAAAACCGTTAAAATTGATACGAGTGGATGAAGGGTCAAACGACGACGGGTTCACCCCAAACTTGGTGTGTTGGGGTTTTAGAATATGTAGATCAAGTTCAACGGAGCGGATCATCCACAATGTCGCTCAATCATGTGATTTTAGAGGCGTCAAGGAGGAAATCCCCTCCTATGACAAGGATACCCATTAATCTCTCTCTCTCTCTCTCTCTCTCTATATATATATATATATATATATATATATGTTAATGTTATATTTTAATTAAGAGTGGT